TACCACAAGGCCAATACCAATACTTTCATGCCTAGTATCGATACCATCATCCTAGTTTGGGCAGAAAACTCTATTAAGTTTGTAAGCTTAGAAAGGGGATTATGAGGGTATCGAGACTTCCCTAATAAGACTTTAAGTGGTAAGGCTATAATTTATTGGCATAAAACTATAATTTATTGGCATAAAAATATAATTTATGTGGCATAAGACTAGCCTTTGGTTTTTGCTCGAGAAACGAAGACACGCAAGTGCTAAGGCACTTTATTATTAGTGAGTATGCACTTTTTTATCAGTGCTGAGGCACGCCCATAATATGCATTCATATGATGTGTTGATGCATTTCATTGCATCATGATTTCAATTGTTAAGCATTCGAAGCTAATGAACATATGAAGTATATTGGAGTCATTTATGTGGCACTAAGCTTGTAGCTTAGTGTTCGAAATTGTTTTTGTTCTTGAGTTAGTATATATCAGATTTCGGGAGCTTATCGCCAGACAGCTGGATTCTAGATATCAGCAGTTGTAGAGTATGTCTTGATTTTCCCTAGTGGCCATGTATTTCATAGACCCTTGTGTAATCGAGTCATAAATCTTGAAATTTTATTTGTGTTTGGAGATTATTTTATGAGCCCCCGGGTTTTGTAAACCTAACTGCTTTTATTTTTTATTTTACCTTATGAAATGATTTATGTTATGAGAAATGATACGTTTTAAAGGAAAATTTAGTTATCCACCTTGGTGGTCCTGTGTAATATCCAAACCCAATGGGCTTCGGTGGATCGGATTTGGGTGTTAAACAAGTTATCGAGTTTCTATGCTAATTTAATTATAATTATTTATAGTATTATGGTAGGATTGGTCCTAACTTTTTGACTTTCTCTAATCATATATATATATATATATATATATATATATCCTTTTCATATTATATATTATTTAATATATTAAATACAATCTAAAATTATAAATATATCACAATATTATATTATTCTTATGTTGAGGGTAAAATATTGATGAGAAAATAAAAGAGTCAAGAAATTGCTAAGAAAAAAGAATTTGCAAACAATTGTAGTCAAAAGACCACATTGAGTAAAATGCAATGTAAAGGGTCTAAATAAAAAAAGAGTGCATTTTTAATAAAAAATAATAATAATAATTGAAGTTACATATGTATTTTGTAGTGGTATATGAGCATATTGTTCAAATTTGGTAAAAACGGACTTAAAATAAAGGATGAATTGAATGATTGAGAAAATTATGAAAAATTGAGGGATCAAATTAAAAAATCTAAAACTTGTTATCAAAAAGAGCAATTGAAAGTACATATGTAACCTGCGATGGATTAAGAGAATGTGGTTCAAATTTGGTTAAAAATAGACTTCAAAATGAAGGAGGAATTGAAGAACAATTAAAACAGGACTAAATCGTAAAACTGTCAAAATACATAGTCAAATTTTTGTTTTTTCGAGTAACTTAAAATTTTGAAATCTCAACTCGACTCAAACTCGAAAACCGAACTACGAATTCGAGTTGACTCTATGACTCAAGTAACTCAAAATTGAAAAAGAAATCGATTTTTCGAGTTGAGTCGAGTTTTGCTTACCCTTACTCGCCTGTTAGTCTAATATTGTATAATTATCTATTTTTTTAACAGTCTAAAATGATTATAATGTAGTATTTGTTCATTTTTTAAATTATTAGCAATGTCACACACCCCTAAAGACACAATTATTGGAACTCAAGATCATTAGGAAAAACAATATTTCCTCTTACGACTGAAGCCACTCAATGTGTTATACTTTTCATATAACTAGTCAAATTATGATTTATTTTTAAAAAAATCAAAATATTTTATATTTATATACTTAAATATCTTTTTACTAAATAAAAATAATTATTAAAAATAAAAAGTAAATGCATATATATACTCATACAAAACACACGTCGAAAAAATTAATATTCTTTAAAATAATTATATTTAAACATATTTCAAATTGCAGCTTTTAAAAAGGATTAATCAAACTATACTCAATGGGTATAATTTTTTTTATATTACACATTATGTACGGGATTCAAAGTGTGTCAAGTTGATGATTAACACAAGGAGTGAAAGTCTGTTATCGGAGTTGGAAGCATTAATTTTAGTTCATGAACATAAGAAATGCATGGACCTCAATTTATCCAAAGTGTTGGTTGCCTTTACTGGCTTTCGAGGAGGACGACACAATAATTTTTAACCATGGTTTAATTCATTGCACATTAACACAAATTTAACCACTATAAACTTGGGTTTATTTTTTATTATTAGAAAAAAGATAAATATATTTCGGTATACTGAATTTTGCTTCAAGTTTAATTTGATATCAAGATTTATTTATTCAATTAGGTATTTAAATTTAATTCTTTTGGTTGAAATTGATATTTAAATATGATTTATTGGTCCAATGTCATATATTAAGCTCTTAAATAAGATGGTATCAAAAGTCAATTTAACATCAACTTAATTAAGAAATACCTAAAATATTTATAAAAATAATAAATATTCTTATAATAGTATTTTTCGTACTTTTACATAATAATACTTTTCACATTAAACAAATAAAAAATATTACTTGGAACTCAAATACATCAATAATGAACTTATATGCAAACTGTTTACCACTCATGAGAATTTATTAATTAGTTATTTTAATAGTTTGAGATGTTTATAAGATATTATTTGTTCAGAATTGTTATAATCAATTGACAACATACATATACTCTACAATTTCTTAATCCAAAGAGACCAACATTTTCTTTTATCACTAAACTCAATTGATGGATTCATTAATTGATTTTTTAATATATGACATAAATATTTTCATTTATTAGAATGTGACAATATCCAATCTATATGTAAAATCTAAATATATTTAATAAATGGTGAACTATACAATTAATCACTAGATATTATCTTATTTTAATCAACACATTATAAATAACTTTAATTATATCACTAAACCTTTTGAATTGGTTTTTATGGACATTTGATGGATAAATCATTAACGTTCTCATGACGTGATTTTTCCTTTGACCTTTTTGTTTTTACAAAAACCCTAAACTCCTCCCATCGTTGCTATTATTTGATTTCACCTTGTTGTTGTTGGTGACAAAATTGATATTAAAATATTTATTTTTTCATTTTTCTTTATTTTTAATTTGATGTTTCATGAAACCTATTCCATATCAATAAGGATCCAACAAAAGTTTTGACATTCTAAAGCTTTGATCTCTATCTTGATGAGACTAATTTTTAGATATGTCATTCATATTCTTGAAAGAATACTGCTTATCATCGAATTTTCGGACAAGCATTCCAAACCTGTCAAATTTGTCAAAGGCCCAACTTCCAAAAAATGATTATTATTATTATTATTATTTTACGTTTAATGTCATGAATATTAAAATTATTTTTAAAATATCTAAATCAATATAATAGTAGAGGATGATGATGCAAATTTAGCGTATCTACGGTGATCACAAAAGACTCAAAGAGCAACAATTTCTTTATAAAAAGTAAAGTTAAAAAAATAATTTTGATGAAAAGAATAAAAAAAATAAAGAAAATATCATATCAAACAAAATTTACTTTTCACATAAGTGCAAAAATGTCATATGATTCTAACGTTACTGATTTAATGGTTCAATAAATAAAAATTTAATTTTGAATATTGTATGCTATAATTAAAACTTTTGATAATTCAATTACTTTTTTAAATAGTTTGAGGTTATTTCAATATAGTATTTATTTAGAATTTTATTAATTATTTAACAATATATACACACCCTACAAACACAGTTGTTCAAATCTAAGACTTTTAGAAAGAATAATATTTTCTTTTACTATTAAGACCACTCGATAAGTTTTTGATAATTCAATTAGAAAAATAAGATAACATCTAAAAGTTTAGTGACTAATACTAAGATTTATCCATTTATAAAATTCTATAAACAAATTAAGAAAAAAATAAAGAACACGATATTGGTAAAATAAAATGTCTACCACAACAATGATGGATCAACTTCAAAACTTAAATACTTCCCCATCCCCACACCTAATTAAATAGACTTTAAGCAACAACACAAACATTTCCTTCGCTTTGGGACTCGGTCGTCCCTCAAATTTCTCGCATAATTATATTACCACCATTTCACCCTTTTAATATTTTTTTATTAATCTAAAATAAATATAAGATAATATTTGTTCAACGATAATTTCCAACCTTTATACATTGAACGTTAAAATCCCTGAAATCAATGATGCTCGAACCTAAATTTTAAAAAAAATAACAATAATTCATTTATCATATTCGTGCCACTTTTTAAACTCAAAATACAAAATTTTAATTTTGCCAACGTGGCTCAAATCACGAACTTCATCAAAATTGATGACTTATTTACCCCATCGCCAATAACGGTAATGTAGAAAACACACGATATCAAAAAAATTTATTTCATAAATTTTATTTTTTATAATATTTTATTTTTTCACAAATTCTAAATTTAATCCTAATTCTACTTAAATTGTTAAAAAAACTTTAGAAAGAAATATTTCTAGTAAATTTAGACTTCTAACCTAAACTAATATAAAAAATAAAATATTTAATCAATCCATCAAATATAACTACACTATCCATTACAACTCAATTAATAAAAAATAATAAGTAATTTTTACAAATTAGAAGTATAAATATTGTGATGAATAAAATTAATATTATCATTCTTCTAATATCGAATTGGCAAAAGCAAATAACGGAAACGTGGCGTAATTTTATTGGAAGAAAGAATCAGGTGGTGACGTGTGACAAAAACTTGATACCATTTTCCACTTTCGCTCTCCCAAGGAAAATGAGACACTGATAAAAGATAAGCTCTAAATTCTAATTTCATATTTTCTTAAGAAATATATTGTATTATTTATCCCCATAAAAAAGGTTAAACTCGAACCCGAGTTCCCCTACCCTACTCATTCAACTCGTTTAAATCCTCACTCATTCCACCGATTCATTTTCTTTTATCTTCACCAGCCTCCCCCTCCTCCAGCATCTGTTTCAGCTATTGTAACCGAGTTACATGGCGATATCGGATGCCGTGATTGGGAATTTGATGATGATCTACGTGGCGGTGATAGTGGGGATAAAGGCCTATGGTTTAGTATGCGGGCGGAGCTTCGGCGGCGGATTTGTGCTGATTGCGTCGAGCGCGGTGGTTGGTTTGATCTTAGTCGGAACAATCACGTGGGACGTCACTCGTAAAGTCACCTACGCCATTTCCCGTGATCAATCCCCTTCCGTCCACGGTCACGAGATGTGCAAGGGTGGGATTTGCTGGCACGGTGTGGCGGTTCGCTCGCCGGCTTCTCAGGTCCGGTTCAGGCTCCCTCAACAAATTCCATACGGTTCTCTGTAAATAAGAAAGGGTAGATTTTTAGTTTTTTGGAGCTGTAGGATAAAAGTGTTTGTATTTGGATTTTGCTTTTTTTTTTTTTTAATTTTCTTTGAATTTTGATTGTGAGGAATAAAGTTCAAATAACAAAACCAAATGGAAGATGCTTTGTGGATAATATAATTTTCCATTGCTTTTTCTTTTCACCAACCCAAAGTGTGTTTTTTCCCCCCTCAAATCGGAAACAGTGGAAGAAGGCGAGTTTCCATGGCTTTTTGCTCGGTGTACCGACAAGGAACATAGCATTTTTTAGGAAGGGGAAGATTCTGATAAAGGGTGTTCAATTTATAATTGGGACGATATCAGAAGCTGGAAGGTCTAGAGTTGGAGGGACATTATCCCAGATTTTCCCGGAAAACAAGAGAACTCTGGAATAAAAGAGTTTGTACTGATGAGGGGTGTTCCAAAAAAAAAATCCTGTGTAACCATTACATTTAACAAGTTAATTAATCGAATTATTAATATTAAACAATTTCGATTAACCGAACAACTAAAAATGATGATTAATAATTAAAGTTACGGTCACAAGTTTTGATAAACAGTTAACCATTAAGAAATTAAATTTACAATTATATTTCTAATTTATTATGTTTTTACACAAATAACTTAAAATAATTTTTTTATTATTTATAATTTATATATATATTTAATAAAATTTTTATACAAATAATTTAATATATATCATTTTTAATTTTTATTTCTTTTAAAGTATAGAAATATTCTTACAATAATATAATTATGTGTTTATTTTTAGGTACTAAGATATTTAAAGATGTACATAATTACACCAATATAAGTATGCGTTAAGTATTACACTTTATTATTTTATTTACTTACATCGGTGTAAGTATTATGAAAAATTTTGATAAATAATTGTAATAGATTAATAGTAGGTTAAGTCATAACTGAATCGTTAATAATAATTAACAGTTAGTGATTAATCGTTTCTTAATAATTAGATTACGATAAAAAAATCTCATAACTATTATAACATTTAACCGACCATTTAGATTAAAGAGAATGATTATCTGTCTATGAACAACTCTAATACCAATATTGTTGTTGTAGTTGTTCGTACAAAACAGTTAGAATCTAAGTCATTATTATTTTTTTCGGATTTCCTTTTTCTCCTTTTTTATGTTCTTTTATATGGCAGTAAGTGCAGTAGTACAAAATTTGCAACTATGTCCACTTTCCGCGGACCATGTACGACCACAGCTTTAGCTTAGTTAGTTCTGCTCGGGTCGGGATGGCTCGAGGGATAAACGAGGAGCAGGCTTGTTCTATTACATGTGCAAGATATATCACAAAATTTTAGAGATCCCACACTTTAAAAAAATCTGGTAATAAAAAAATATTTATCCAAAAAAAAGTTGTTATAATTCCTTTATTAATTTTCATGACAAAATTTAGAAGAAAAACCTTTTAATTTTCTCTTTTATTTTCTCAATAAATGATTTATAATCATTTCTTCATAAAAAACACCAACAATAAATGAATTGTAGTCATTTTAAAAAAAAAAACCTACTAAAATCATGATTTCTAACATGAAAAAAAAATATTTTAGGGGTCTCGTTTTATAATTTGTTTTATCATAAAATATTTTAAAAGCCTCATTTTAAAAAGTAGCACATAATCTCTACATCTTTTGGGACGAATCTAACGAGGAGGTTGCCATGGAAAATTCACACTCTCATGTAATTTAAATATTTTATTATATTTTATTAATAATTTTCCCGTTTCCTTTAAATTTTATATATTCACATCTTTTATATAAATATTCACTCTCAAATAACTTTTTGTTGTTGTTTCTCACTGGTGAATTTGGCGAATGTTTAGGCAATATGGTAGGTTTGCTGATTTTAACCCAGTGGAGATGCAGTTTGTTAGTTAGACCTTAAACATCTTACAAGTCAATCAAATCTTTCTTAAATAAAAAAATGGGTATATGATTAGGGTAAACTACACATTTAATATAACTATCATTTTTATTCTATTTTGGCCACTTATTTTTTTCAAAGTTATACTTAGCATTATATTTTTGTTTCATTTTGGTCACTCAACTTTAAGAATTTAACAAAACACTATTAACGTGAATTCTTTTAAAGGTGAAGTGACATTATCTTATGGTGACATATTAGCATCCTTGTTAACTTTTAATAGCGGGTGACCAAAATGAAACCAAAACTAAATGTTACACATGATTTTGAAAAAAGTAGTAAGATGACTAAAACAGAAGAAAAGTGATAGTTGGGGCATTTAAAAGTAATCTTTCCGTAATAATTAACTAGGATTATAATTCTCTATGTAATTTTTTGAAACGTATTATTTAAATAAAAAAACCCGGGCAGTTCAGATTCCAAATGAAATAAGCAATTTGTCATGGACGGCTACTCGGCATTAGCTGACTGACCCTGATCTGGTCTAATTGGATTGGGGCAGGCCTGTTGCGTTGAACTTTTCTATTATTTTTCAATATTATTCAAACCACTGTGTAATTTAATTAATTACAACTTTCTTGAAACCCCTAAACCTAATTATGGTGAAATTCTTAGTCAAGTTACATCAATTAGTAAATGATCAGTATGAAAGGAAGATGATTATGTTGGTTTCTATTGAAAAAAGGGATAAATAAATCTCGATGGTAGGAGAAATTGAAAAAGGTTTGTATGAAACAATTATTTTGTTGATCCGAGACGATAAAACAATAATAAAATCAAATATTTTATATATCAACAATTTACTTTCATGGTGATTCATATAAGTCGTAGCAAATTCAATTCATCGATAGGGTATCGTCGTAAAATTCTTGTACATGAATTAATAATAAAACAAATACAATTAATAACATGGAAAATATTCGATTAAATAATCTGAATAGAAAACTATAAATATATGAAGAGAAATACGTTGAGACCTGCAATTACGCAGTTTCCTTACGACATATTTTCGGCCACTCTTTGGTGCTCGAGATCTTTGGTCGTCTATCTCCCAGAATACAACAATGAGATGATCAACGCATAGTAGAAAAACTACCGAGATCACGAAATATTCATTGTCTTAACCAATCACCAAAAACTAATGAAAAGAATTCTTTTGAATTGGTTTTTGAGTTGTTGTTTTTTAAATTATATTTAACCTAGTAGGTTAACACAATATTTATAGGGATTTCACATTGTGAACAATTAGAAATTTTTGACCTAATGAAGAATTAATGATAATCACACAATTAAGAAATTTCCAAAATTACTGTTTTGATTAAAGGAACCTTTTAATATTTATCATTTTAATTCCAAACATCTTTGAAAAGATATTCTCTGTTTGGGGAAAATATCTCATATTTGGGTTAAAATATCCATCAGCCCACAAAAAGCCTGACCAGTTCAGGCATTAACGTTACACACATTGTGCATGTCTACGCATGCACGAACCAATAATTGATTTAACATTTTCCTCAACAACTTTTGGATCAATTTCTCATTCAAAGCTCTAAAATTATCGATTTTTCCAACAATTCCCCATATGAATAAAATTGATCATTTTATCAAAACCATTTTGACTCGATGTGATGATAGACTCTACAATCGATAATTGCATAGGATAGGTAGGTGTCTTCCTTTGAACCTTCCCTCGTGACATCATATTTACTTTACTAGCTGACCAGTTGACGTGTTGTCCTTGAACTGTTCTGTCATTTGTGTAAATGATGATACACTTCACACAACTACCACCTGACAAGAATTTTAGTTCTCAAGGGATGTCCTTAAAGCCATGGACTTCGCCTGGTTCTGCAAGAGTTTGAAAGAACTACGCCCAATAATCTCCTTGAAGCGAACCCACTTTATTCTCACATAGGTGACTTATGTTTCTCGACTCATCGAAGCACACAATGGTCATTAAAAAGCTTTGCTTAACCTATACCAATTTGATCATTGTTTACATCATAAGAATGAACTTGAGATAAGAAACCCCCACAACGATCTCACATTGTTTATGCATTTAGGTTGTCCTTTTGAAACTAGATTTTGGGATGTCCATTTAATTAGGTAGGGTTTTCCTTCACATAACACCTTCAATTTTCCATGGGCTTTGGTCTCAGTCCTTTAAATATTTTCTCAACTTGATATCGATTTTAACCATTCGGGTAGTGGATCCGCAAAGTTATCCTTTGAACTTATAAAATCAATAGAAATAATTCCATTTGAGATCAATTGTCTAATGGTATTATGTCGATGATGCATATATCTCAAATTACCATTATGCATAAAGTTATATGCTCTATCAATATATGAATATTGTGGGCACAAAATTTGGCCATTCAAGAATATCCACCAAGAAATTCTAAAGTCATTCAACTTATTCTCTATACTTATTTATAGCTAAAAATGCTTATTCCATTTTGGATTTGGTTATAATCGTTTTTTTGAGAATTTTTATGACATGACTCCTCTTCCCATTGTGAAGCATAATTACTTATGCCTTTGATATCTTGAATATCATATATTCAACTGGCATCAAAGTATCCTTCTAGGGAAGCATGATCTTGGGATAATACAATCCATACTTTTTAGCATATTTGAGATATCTTAGTTCTCTCATAATTGCTTTCAAGAGGTTTGTCATAATGACAATATCTTTGTTTCAACCTTTAGTTGAACATCTAGACTTATCTTTATTAATAGTCTTCATTCATCTTCCTTAGTTATATAAGGGAATATATTTTCAAAGAATGAGATATTCTTTGATTTCGTTATCGTGTTCTTGATAATCTCGGGATTCATTGATCCATACACAAGATGTCAATGTGTCTTGCTATAATCTTGATGAGTGTTCTGAATCGTTAATATCTGTTTGTTATTTCTTCGATTTTGTGAAGTTATTGCTGCTGATTTGGTTGTGTTATGTCTATTTTCGTGCAGGTCCTTACTTTCCAGAATTAGTGATAAAACGGGCGAATTCTGCATTTTT